TGTCTTCTTGCTTCCCAGTTTCTCTGGCTTTCCGTCGTCGCCTTTAGGGCTGGACACCGAATCAGGTGGGTCTTCTCCATTTCCTCCTGTAGGCTACATTGTGGGCTTATGGGTTGAGTGTATACTCCCAATCTGTGAAGGTGTTTTGCTAATCAATCGTGTCCGGTACGTAGTCTAAACCCATCAACGGCTTCGATTCTTGGCCAGTCGGCTATGTCGGAGAGTGACACTGTCCACTGTTTCTCCATTGTTCGAACTTTAAGTTCGTTGCACCTTGAGGTCTGAAATTCTCTTCTGATTAAGGCCTTCATTGTATGGAAAGACATCGCGTTCCACGCATTGCAAAATCGTTGTCCCCTTCTTAGCAAGTATGTCAGACATCTCATTACCTTTAATGCCACAGTGACCAGGAATCCATTGAAGGACCACTGTTTTGTTTTTCTCTCTCAGCAGCTCGTAGAGTTTTCTACATTCCTTTATCTCAGCTGTTTTGGGTGGCTCTCTGTTTCCAATTGAGTTTATTGCTGCAACATAATTGGCATAGTGCCATCCTAATGGTCTCTATTTCTTCGAAAGCTGTCCCACTGCTGCGTAGAAAGAGAAGAGTTCAGAATAGCCACCCGTACCAACGTTTGCTTGGTTTTCTATGTATGACCCATCAGTGAAGACTTGGAGCCATTGATCTGAAGGATAGTTGACATTGATTGTTTCAAGGGCCAGAGAGCGCATTTGCTCTGGAGGGATGTTTGATTTCCGGAAGAAGTCGAGCTGTTCGGTGCAACACACTACATCAGTGTCTGCAGATTGTAAAAGTAGAAACAGAGGTTGGAATTCAGAATATAAAATGGCTTCATTTATTTGAAATGTCCACATTTTCAGGTGAATGTCTTCTTGACATTTATGGATGGCCTTTGGATTTCTGACGAATTATTCTCTAGTATTGGAATGAGGTTAAATTTTGTCTATTTATTATTTCAATAATTATCAACCAAAACTTTCAATATTTAAGGTATTCACCGCTACACAATATCAATCTACCATCCAAAAAAGACACTCAATATCCTGCAGTATTGGTCATTACAGCTGATCATGACGATAGAGTTGTACCTCTACACTCGCTCAAGTTCATCGCCACTTTGCAAGAGAAGGTGGGTCGTGGATCTGCCTCTCAAACTAACCCCCTTCTCATTCTTGTGGAGACCAATGCAGGACATGGTGGTGGCAAACCCACCTCCAAAAGGGCAAGTGATTCTTTTAAAATTCTCCCAATACATATCAGCTTATGTCGATTAGATCTGTATTCTTACGTAGACATCTCATTTATTCGACTTAGCACTAAACGTTTTTAGTAAAAATGTACGAATATAAACTCTAAGGTAGTTGAAGTACATTTACTTGAGAATTCAGGTGTCGTTAACCATGCTTACATGCTTATGCTACCTCGCCCCTTATTCTAACCCCTGTCATTATTGTCAAAATTGCTGCTTTTCTTGCTCCTTGGTAGAAAGCATCATATCCTCGTGTCCGCACAGTGCTTAATTTCTTTTTTTATTTCCTTAGATCGACGAGTTGGCGGATATTTTCGCCTTCATTCAAGTTGCTTTGGATCTGAAGTGGCACTCGTGATTTTTAAAGTGCTGTTGATGAAGCTGTTCCGTGTTCGTGATGCTTGCGTTTCTAATGAAAAATATTAGCTAAATTGTCCTGTGTTTTTGTTTAATACTAAATAAAAGGTGTAATAGTGATTGGTAACATTTCTCTGTGTGTTATTTGCCTCCCTAGTCAATTTGATTTTAGTTTCAAATAGGACATTTTGTCAATCTTATTTGTCCATTTCAAGTATGAGGTTAGTGAGGGCTCTTACATGGAGGCTTTTTTATTTTTTGGTTTCATCTCTTAATGCTTCAACAGTTGGTGATAGCGATTAGAAATTTCCCTCAGACATGTTTATAACAAATGGCAGGCGTTTTGATAGTTATCATTATCCCTTTAGGGGCATCACAGAGAGGAGGAGGAACATCAAAGTGAAAAGAATTCGGGAGGGGGAATAGAAGAGTGATTCACAGATGTAAAAGAGACAGACAGGAAACAGAAGAGCGATTCACGGATGTAAAAGAGGCAGACAGATGACAGAATAATGATTCACAGACGTAAAAGAGACAGACAGATATGACACAAAGTTATAAAAAAGGTAAGATGAGTACTGTGAAAGGGGGCGAATTAAAGGTAGAAAAAGGTGAGGTGAGTACTGTGAAGTAGTCGAATATGGCATACAGTGGGGTGATGGTGGTTTGAAGTGGGAAGTCAACTGCCGATCAATGCATTGATTTGTTGCGGGGTCCATTCGTAGGTGTAGGAAAGAGAGGCATATAGGCTTTTTAGCAAAATTGTACCAATAAATGGGTAAGCCTCTTAATCAGTGATCTAATCCCTACTTAACTGAATTCTGAAAGGCGGTTGTTAAGAATAGAAACTATTAATGTTGAGGCCATACTATGTTTTTGTCTCTGAGCAGGGAACTAACGGCCATCTTGATTGAACTCTACTATCTTAATAATATTTTTTCAAATGGCAGGCTTTATGATATTTATCATTAGCCCTTAAACTTTGACTTCAGCTTCCCCCATGGGTGGGGGGGGAGGGGGTACATTTATAGCAGTTCATTAGCTGTCTTCTTGCTTCCCAGTTTCTCTGGCTTTTCGTCGTTGCCTTTAGGGCTGGACACCGAATCAGGTGGGTCTTCTCCATTTCCTACTGTAGGTTACATAGGAGACATGTGGGTTGAGTGTATACTCTCAATCTGTGAAAGTGTTTTGCCAGGCTATCGTGT